TTTCGTGTTGGTCGACTTTTGAAATATCTGATTTGTTTCCAAAATGAGGTCGGGCTTTTTGTTGCCTTTGTTAATTTATCGACATTTCGTTTACTCAGGTCCGATTTAAATCTTCTACAGCAGTTTCTGTATATATTTCGTTCTTTACAATATAGTTTTCTATTGATATCGTTACGTTTACGTCTAAATGTGTTTAGAGATTTTCGTGCAACCCGTCGTGCAGCCTTACACTCAGCATTTAAGGGTGGATTGTTTCGCGGCGGTGCGATCGATACACGTTTCTTCATACAGCTTGCAGAATCTAAAATCATACTTACAAAATCCTCAATAGCATCTTCTATATTACTATCAAGTTTATTAAACACCGACTGAAAACCAGCTGCGGTTCTCTCTTGAAGATTTCCTAAAAATGTCCTACATAAAGACTCATTCCACACAATTTTTTCATTAGAGGAGATATCTGCTGTTGATTTACCTTTAATCATGTTCATTTTAGGAAATCGGCATTTGAGCTCTAAAGGCAGATGATCAGAATCTAATCGATCACCTATATTCAACATACTTATATATTCAAAGAGATCAGGAGAACAGATGAAATAATCATTAACACTACAGCCATGCTGTCCGACAAAAGTATATTCACCTTGTTCATCTCCAAACACTCTACCATTGACAATAAATAAATGAAATGCATAACACATGTCGATCAAAATTTGTCCGAATCTATTTATGACCTTATCATGTGATTTACGATCCCCAACAGGGATATCCTCCTCGTCATCAAATATGTTGGTGACGTTTCTATCATCGACACATGTCACTTGGGGGATTGTTACTCTCTCCTGTTCGCGCGTTCATGTCGCCACAAAGTACAATATGGGAATCTCTAAACTCAGACAAATTAGAAAGTAAAAACTGATCAACATTATCAAGACTACATTTTGTGTGAGTCTTATAGTAGGATGAACCCACTGGTGGGATATATGTACATATCAAGTTAATATCTTTATCAGTTATACATATAAAATTGTCAAAATCAGATTTCAACAACTTACACGATTTGCTGACAGATCGATGAACACCTACGCAGACACCACCAGAGAGTCGACCATACTCGGACAGTTTGATTGTTGGGCTATAAGAGATATCATAGTCATGCAACCAATCAACATCGGAAATATTGTCAACAAATGTTTCTGCAAGACATACAATTTTGAAATGGCGTAAATAATTCAAAAAGTCATTTTCATAGATTTTGGAATTTAAACCATTCACATTCCTAAAAAGAAACTTAATAGTTCCATCACAACACCGATATTCAGAATCTTCAGAGGGTTCACAATGTTTATCTACACCGGTGTCACGGCCACAGGGACCGTGTGAAATATGATCCGGGTTTCGGCCGACTTCCTATTTCGACACGATCGGAGACGTTGGTTCGGTATCTGTACTTGATGTTACAATGCGCCGTCTCTTTTGACTGGTTTTCTGTGATGTCGACGTTGTGGATTCTGTAGCTAAACGAGGTTTCGTTATCAGCTTGCCATTTTTAAAGAAGCCAAACTGGTTGGTACCCTTTAGCGTTTGAAGTTTTTGTCGTTGACGTGTCGTTAAATCACTGGATATTCCAAAACCCCTTTCCTTAAGTGCTGGTCTAGCCTTAAGGGCTCTGACTTTGTCATCTGATACCATCAGTTTGACTATGACAGGGCGAGGTTTGTCGGCGTTTTGACGTTTCATTCCAAGACGATGTGCACGGTGAATGTCACCTGGCTGCCAAGTTTTAAATTTCAAATTGTCATTAAATATCGTAATCACTTTCTCCTTGCACGCCATGGATTTCTCATCATCGGATTCCGGCACACCGTATATGATAATATTATCAAGTCTGCTGAACGACTCTAACTTGTCCAGTTCATCATCAATACGTAGAAACCGGGAAAACACATGGTCAACTTTCTCTGCAAGGGCATCAATATCACTGTACATCAAGTCATGGTTATGTTTCACATCGGTAACCTCAGATTGTCTCTAAGTCAATCTATAAATATAATGACTGCCTGTTTCATCATAAACTGTAGCAAGGTATAGGTATACATTGTCCACCAGAGATGGAAACGAATAGACACTTTCTTGTACCAAGACAACATGGGGTCCTGTAATCGCAACATGTGTATCTTCTATATTAGCATCATGAAAAGTAGGCCAAGCTTGGAAAGATATGCTATGTCTAAATGTTGGGCTCAAGACATTGGATACAAACACGTGGAATGATTTTGGAAGACGTATGTCGTTGATACAGATAACGTTGCGAGGGGGAAAACTACGTCATCCAGTGGAGAAGGTCCCCACCCATCATCCCAAGCTACAGACGGAAACACTGCTGCAGACACATGGGCTGTCTGTATAGAGACAAAGGGCAGCAATCCCAACTGGTGGCGAGTGGATCTCAATGACACAGTGTTGATACGTGACGTCACCATCTACTTCAGAACTGACTGTAAGTATAGTATCATGACTGATTGTCATTAGTTACACTGTCTGTATAGAGACAAAGGGCAGCAATCCCAACTGGTGGCGAGTGGATCTCAATGACACAGTGTTGATACGTGACGTCACCATCTACTTCAGAACTGACTGTAAGTATAGTATCATGACTGATTGTCATTAGTTACACTGTCTGTATAGAGACAAAGGGCAGCAATCCCAACTGGTGGCGAGTGGATCTCAATGACACAGTGTTGATACGTGACGTCACCATCTACTTCAGAACTGACTGTAAGTATAGTATCATGACTGATTGTCATTAGTTACACTGTCTGTATAGAGACAAAGGGCAGCAATCCCAACTGGTGGCGAGTGGATCTCAATGACACAGTGTTGATACGTGACGTCACCATCTACTTCAGAACTGACTGTAAGTATAGTATCAATACTGATTGTCATTAGTTACACTGTCTGTATAGAGACAAAGGGCAGCAATCCCAACTGGTGGCGAGTGGATCTCAATGACACAGTGTTGATACGTGACGTCACCATCTACTTCAGAACGGACTGTAAGTATAGTATCAAGTATAAGTATAATGACTGCCATTAATTACACTGTCTGTATAGAGACAAAGGCAGCAATATAAGGATAGACTAATTGTCATCGGATACATCAGCTACAGAAATTACTTGATATATGCTGCCTTGTGTGATAGTATTGTTAGTTTTATGGGTCTCTTGTTGGATATGTGACATCCTTTGTGTGACTGTATTGAACTACATATTCCAGATACACCAAGGAGAAATGGCATCCAGGTGTACGTGACTCTCAACCATTGTTTTGGTACAGTGTTAACATGCCAAAATGTACTTGACGTCCTACCTGTCAATATATTGAACTAAATATTACAGATACACGAAGGAGAAATGGCATCCGTGTGTACGTGACCAACTCCACGGAAGCACCCAGTGGTGACAACTGCTACACCGCGACAGAAGGGAGTGATGGAAGTGGCATTGCTGACGTCACACGGGCACCTTGCTCCGGCAGAGGGCGCTACATTTTACTTTACACAACAGTGAACAATATAGACGACAGTCTGCCTAAACTTGACTTTTGTGAGGTGGAAGTAGACGGTAGGCAAACACAACTGTATCTGTAATGTAAATGTCCTAACCAGGCATACAGCGAAGTGAAGTGCTGTTTGATAGTGAATCGTTAACAGGTGTCAAGAAATGTATCTGATCAGCATGATTTATAATGCACCTCGCTGGATACAACACAGGTTCGATTGTCCTCATCAAAGATATCCTCCAACTTTTGCAAACAGATTCGTCTTTACAAATGGTTATAGATAAATACGTGTAAACTATTGTGTGATATACACATGAAACTTCTATATGGCAGTGTGTGGTCCTGGTACTTTCGGTGCTGACTGTGACAACTACTGCCACTGTGACGGTGATGTGTGCAACTACGTCAGCGGAATCTGTCCCAATGGAACGTGTATGTCTGGTTGGCTTGGCAACAGTTGCAATATCAGTGAGTTGAAATCCAACAGCAACTACACGTGACAAACTCGTGAACAGAATGGGATGGGATGGGGTAGGACCGTAACTAAATTGAATTGAATTGAATTGAATGCATTAACCATTTCCGCACATCATGCTACAAGTATTGTGTAGAATAGTCTGATGTATTTTGTCAAAATCGAATTCAATAACATGGGTTCAATGCCTGTAATGAACACACTCAACCCTTGTGTAAAACCCACTATTGCCTCTGTACTTCCCGTTTCAGCATGTGAGACGGGACACTATGGACGAGGCTGCTCCAAGTCATGCACAGACAGACAGTGTAAGAACAACACCTCCAGTTGTAGCCACGACACTGGGGAATGTTCAGGTGGATGTCTGGCGGGCTACAGAACACAGGACTGTACACAGGGTAAAGACTCTTTAACATTTGTTGAGTGCACAGGGTAAAGACTCTTTAACATTTATTGGGTACACAGGGTAAAGACTCTTTAACGTTTGTTGAGTACACAGGGTAAAGACTCGTTACTGTTTGTTGAGTACACAGGGTAAAGACTCGTTACTGTTTGTTGAGTACACAGGGTAAAGACTCTTTAACATTTGAGGAAGTATAAGTGTTACCAGAGAATGCTATGGACTGTAAATCTAATAGCTAAATGACATTGGATTCTGCAGGGAGATTATTCAAATAGAAACATATCGAATTAGTCTGGAAACAACACATGGATGTCGGATGTTATGTCTCATTGGACAAAGGGCACCCGATTCTGCTCCTATTTCTGTTAATAGAAGGATGTCTGGAATAGAAGCATATCGCATGAGACTGGACGGCACAAAACAGAGACTAAAACAGAGACCTCTGTCTGAACCAACTTTCTGAAGAACTATTTCCTTGGCTTTAGTTTTGACATCTTAACGTGATTTATTCCGAATTAAGACGCAGTTTGTATTTTTTTTAAAGAATGCGTGGACACGTATGGAGAGGATTGTGGCAGAAACTGCTCCGACAGACACTGTAGTGACACCTCCTCGCCTAGATGTGATCACGTGACTGGGTGTGTGACGGAGGCTGCAGCCCCGGATGGAAGGGTGTCGACTGTACAACAGGTGAGAACTGAACATACTACAATATTCTTTTGGCCAGATTATGATGCAACTAAAGCTGATAGATGTCGAATGATTGTACACATCCTGAGTCACTTGACACAAAGCTTCTATTACAAAACGTCCTTACACTCAAAATCATAAACTTACAAATATTTTGAAAATCATTTGTTTATTCATACATAACAGCAAGGAATTTCCTACAAATTGGAAAAAAGCCGTCCTTTCCTTATATATACGACTATATGAAAATACTTTTGCTAGCCGTGTAAGGGGCTCATGAAATATAATTGTCGATAACAGACAAGGGTGTTGACAAGAAACATTCTATGCAAGAAAACCTACCCTACACACCCAGTTGCACGAGCCGCACGTTGTAGGGTCACGCGCGTAATCAGTCACTCCTGTAGTCAGTCTTGTTGATCCGCCTGTCACATAGTTGTGATATGCTTACATTCAACACTCCGACTGATATTCATGTTAGTACAGTACTATCGGGGCAACATACTGTCACACTTTGTCTTAATATTTTCTGTAATTGACGATTTAAGTTCCTTTTGCAACAGGGTGTGTCCTCGATGTAGAGTACGGTGCCGGATGTGTGGGTAACTGCAGTGCCCGGATGTGTGAGGGAGGGAATGTCACCTGTCCCCCGGATACAGGTGTCTGTGAGAACGGATGCCAGCCAGGGTGGACGGGAGAAGACTGTATACACAGTAAGTGTCAGAGGAAGTATGTCACAACTCAGGCATGTCAACGTGGATGTGTTGACACAAACATACACTGGGGTCTGTTTATGACAAACTTTGACAACAAGATCTATGCCTATATCATGGGCGTTATGAGACATTCTATTCCTCTGAATTATTTGACATATGACTGATACTGCCAGAAGTTCCCTCACTCACTCACGCCCTCGGTCTCTGTTATTTCAGGGACTGTTTCATCTCATCAGTCCAAGAGTGATGTGACTGGGGGTATCGTTGGTGGTGTGGTAGCCGCGGCCGTGGTTGTACTGGCTGTTGTAGTTGTTGTGCTTTACAGGTAGGTGCGGTTTTATACAAATGTACAGGTACGTGTATCATGAGCAAGTTCACGGTATAACGGAGCATATCGTGTTTATTGTAGCACCAAATAGCTAGGACCAACTCCCAAACATGAGTAATATAGTGTACACCTATAATAAAGCATTAAAGCAGAATATCATCAAATCTGTGTGACCAAAAGCTGATACTTCTTGTATTCACCTGAAGGAGACAACACAAAGCCAACAGTACCAACAAGGGGAACTCGATCTACGAGGACATAACAGCTATGGGACCAGAAGGAAACCAGATAGAGGGTAAGTAAAACACACAGAACAACAATCAGACACTACTGTGCGAGTCTGACCATGTTTGTGATATGAAATAGTGATGATACAAGGTGCAATAGGTGAGGGTATCCTGCCGTAGGTTTCTGAACGTAGTGCCCGGCTCTCATCAAGATAAGTAATGATCTCCCCCAGATAATACCATGAGGACTTGCTGACAGTGGTAGGCGTGTTTAGAGTGAATGTCTGTTGTCCTGCAGCATCCCGGGAAACAGACAGAGAGGATGAGGAGGAGATAGAGGAGGGGGCAGACAGAAGCTCCTACTACAACATGACGACTCCGGTCACAGTGACGGAGGTGGCTGTCGACAAGCTGGGGGACAGAATCACAGAACTCCAGGCTAGTGAAGGAGGATTCGAACAGGAATACATGGTACATTTCATCATCCATTATCTATGAGGTCAATATCAAGTTAGGGGATATATCTCTATACAACTCCATACATGTATCGCAGATGTCGTGTTGAGAACAGCTTTAGATTGTTCATTTGGGCAGAAAAGATGCCGCCATAGCGTAAGGCAGGACACGTTTGTTTGTCAGAAATTGATTATAATTATTTTTTCTAGCGGTTGATATCCGGGTTTACACACACGTATGAAGATTCTCAACGTGAGGAGAACCGCGGCAAGAACAGATTCCGGCAGTACTACCCCTGTGAGTATCTCACCACTACATCACAGACAATGTATATAATATTCACCCGTCCTCAACGAGAGTAGCTAACAGGGTTTACAAGTCCGCTATGAGAATGTAGCTGACAGGGTTTACAAGTCCTCACAAGTGAGAATGTAGCTGACAGGGTTTACAAGTCCTCAATGAGAATGTAGCTGACAGGGTTTACAAGTCCTCAATGAGAATGTAGCTGACAGGGTTTACAAGTCCTCAATGAGAATGTAGCTAACAGGGTTTACAAGTCCTCAATGAGAATGTAGCTGACAGGGTTTACAAGTCCCTCAATGAGAATGTAGCTGACAGGGTTTACAAGTCCTCAATGAGAATGTAGCTGACAGGGTTTACAAGTCCTCAATGAGAATGTAGCTGACAGGGTTTACAAGTCCTCAATGAGAATGTAGCTGACAGGGTTTACAAGTCCTCAATGAGAATGTAGCTGACAGGGTTTACAAGTCCTCAATGAGAATGCTGACAGGGTTTACAACAAGTCCCTCAATGAGAATGTAGCTGACAGGGTTTACAAGTCCTCAATGAGAATGTAGCTGACAGGGTTTACAAGTCCTCAATGAGAATGTAGCTGACAGGGTTTACAAGTCCTCAATGAGAATGTAGCTGACAGGGTTTACAAGTCCTCAATGAGAATGTAGCTAACAGGGTTTACAAGTCCTCAATGAGAATGTAGCTGACAGGGTTTACAAGTCCTCAATGAGAATGTAGCTAACAGGGTTTACAAGTCCTCAATGAGAATGTAGCTGACAGGGTTTACAAGTCCTCAATGAGAATGTAGCTAACAGGGTTTACAAGTCCTCAATGAGAATGTAGCTGACAGGGTTTACAAGTCCTCAATGAGAATGTAGCTAACAGGGTTTACAAGTCCTCAATGAGAATACAAGCTGAGAACAGGGTTTACAAGTCCTCAATGAGAATGTAGCTGACAGGGTTTACAAGTCCTCAATGAGAATGTAGCTGACAGGGTTTACAAGTCCTCAATGAGAATGTAGCTGACAGGGTTTACAAGTCCTCAATGAGAATGTAGCTAACAGGGTTTACAAGTCCTCAATGAGAATGTAGCTGACAGGGTTTACAAGTCCGCAATGAGAATGTAGCTGACAGGGTTTACAAGTCCTCAATGAGAATGTAGCTGACAGGGTTTACAAGTCCTCAATGAGAATGTAGCTGACAGGGTTTACAAGTCCGCAATGAGAATGTAGCTGACAGGGTTTACAAGTCCTCAATGAGAATGTAGCTGACAGGGTTTACAAGTCCTCAATGAGAATGTAGCTGACAGGGTTTACAAGTCCTCAATGAGAATGTAGCTGACAGGGTTTTACAAGTCAAGTCCTCAATGAGAATGTAGCTGACAGGGTTTACAAGTCCTCAATGAGAATGTAGCTGACAGGGTTTACAAGTCCTCAATGAGAATGTAGCTGACAGGGTTTACAAGTCCTCAATGAGAATGTAGCTGACAGGGTTTACAAGTCCTCAATGAGAATGTAGCTGACAGGGTTTACAAGTCCGCAATGAGAATGTAGCTGACAGGGTTTACAAGTCCTCAATGAGAATGTAGCTGACAGGGTTTACAAGTCCTCAATGAGAATGTAGCTGACAGGGTTTACAAGTCCTCAATGAGAATGTAGCTGACAGGGTTTACAAGTCCTCAATGAGAATGTAGCTGACAGGGTTTACAAGTCCTCAATGAGAATGTAGCTAACAGGGTTTACAAGTCCTCAATGAGAATGTAGCTGACAGGGTTTACAAGTCCTCAATGAGAATGTAGCTGACAGGGTTTACAAGTCCTCAATGAGAATGTAGCTGACAGGGTTTACAAGTCCTCAATGAGAATGTAGCTGACAGGGTTTACAAGTCCTCAATGAGAATGTAGCTGACAGGGTTTACAAGTCCTCAATGAGAATGTAGCTGACAGGGTTTACAAGTCCTCAATGAGAATGTAGCTGACAGGGTTTTACAAGTCCTCAATGAGAATGTAGCTGACAGGGTTTACAAGTCCTCAATGAGAATGTAGCTGACAGGGTTTACAAGTCCTCAATGAGAATGTAGCTGACAGGGTTTACAAGTCCTGAGAATGTAGCTGAGAATGTAGCTAACAGGGTTTACAAGTCCTCAATGAGAATGTAGCTGACAGGGTTTACAAGTCCGCAATGAGAATGTAGCTGACAGGGTTTACAAGTCCTCTATGAGAATGTAGCTGACAGGGTTTACAAGTCCTCAATGAGAATGTAGCTGACAGGGTTTACAAGTCCTCAATGAGAATGTAGCTGACAGGGTTTACAAGTCCTCTATGAGAATGTAGCTGACAGGGTTTACAAGTCCTCAATGAGAATGTAGCTAACAGGGTTTACAAGTCCTCAATGAGAATGTAGCTAACAGGGTTTACAAGCAATGAGAATGTAGCTGACAGGGTTTACAAGTCCTCAATGAGAATGTAGCTGACAGGGTTTACAAGTCCTCAATGAGAATGCTAGCAGGGACAGGGTTTACAAGTCCTCAATGAGAATGTAGCTGACAGGGTTTACAAGTCCTCAATGAGAATGTAGCTGACAGGGTTTACAAGTCCTCAATGAGAATGTAGCTGACAGGGTTTACAAGTCCTCAATGAGAATGTAGCTGACAGGGGTTTACAAGTCCTCAATGAGAATGTAGCTGACAGGGTTTACAAGTCCTCAATGAGAATGTAGCTGACAGGGTTTACAAGTCCTCAATGAGAATGTAGCTGACAGGGTTTACAAGTCCTCAATGAGAATGTAGCTAACAGGGTTTACAAGTCCTCAATGAGAATGTAGCTGACAGGGTTTACAAGTCCTCAATGAGAATGTAGCTGACAGGGTTTACAAGTCCTCAATGAGAATGTAGCTGACAGGGTTTACAAGTCCTCAATGAGAATGTAGCTGACAGGGACAGGGAATCAATGAGAATGTAGCTGACAGGGTTTACAAGTCCTCAATGAGAATGTAGCTGACAGGGTTTACAAGTCCTCAATGAGAATGTAGCTGACAGGGTTTACAAGTCCTCAATGAGAATGTAGCTGACAGGGTTTACAAGTCCTCTATGAGAATGTAGCTGACAGGGTTTACAAGTCCTCAATGAGAATGTAGCTGACAGGGTTTACAAGTCCTCAATGAGAATGTAGCTGACAGGGTTTACAAGTCCTCAATGAGAATGTAGCTGACAGGGTTTACAAGTCCTCAATGAGAATGTAGCTGACAGGGTTTACAAGTCCTCAATGAGAATGTAGCTGACAGGGTTTACAAGTCCTCAATGAGAATGTAGCTGACAGGGTTTACAAGTCCTCAATGAGAATGTAGCTGACAGGGTTTACAAGTCCTCAATGAGAATGTAGCTGACAGGGTTTACAAGTCCTCAATGAGAATGTAGCTAACAGGGTTTTACAAGTCCAAGCAATGAGAATGTAGCTGACAGGGTTTACAAGTCCTCAATGAGAATGTAGCTGACAGGGTTTACAAGTCCTCAATGAGAATGTAGCTAACAGGGTTTACAAGTCCCTCAATGAGAATGTAGCTGACAGGGTTTACAAGTCCTCAATGAGAATGTAGCTGACAGGGTTTACAAGTCCTCAATGAGAATGTAGCTGACAGGGTTTACAAGTCCTCAATGAGAATGTAGCTGACAGGGTTTACAAGTCCTCAATGAGAATGTAGCTGACAGGGTTTACAAGTCCGCTATGAGAATGTAGCTGACAGGGTTTACAAGTCCTCAATGAGAATGTAGCTGACAGGGTTTACAAGTCCTCAATGAGAATGTAGCTGACAGGGTTTACAAGTCCTCAATGAGAATGTAGCTGACAGGGTTTACAAGTCCTCAATGAGAATGTAGCTGACAGGGTTTACAAGTCCTCAATGAGAATGTAGCTGACAGGGTTTACAAGTCCTCAATGAGAATGTAGCTGACAGGGTTTACAAGTCCTCAATGAGAATGTAGCTGACAGGGTTTACAAGTCCCTCAATGAGAATGTAGCTGACAGGGTTTACAAGTCCGCAATGAGAATGTAGCTGACAGGGTTTACAAGTCCTCAATGAGAATGTAGCTGACAGGGTTTACAAGTCCTCAATGAGAATGTAGCTAACAGGGTTTACAAGTCCTCAATGAGAATGTAGCTGACAGGGTTTACAAGTCCTCAATGAGAATGTAGCTGACAGGGTTTACAAGTCCTCAATGAGAATGTAGCTGACAGGGTTTACAAGTCCGCTATGAGAATGTAGCTGACAGGGTTTACAAGTCCTCAATGAGAATGTAGCTGACAGGGTTTACAAGTCCTCAATGAGAATGTAGCTGACAGGGTTTACAAGTCCTCAATGAGAATGTAGCTGACAGGGCTTACAAGTCCCAATGAGAAAGCTGACAGGGTTTACAAGTCCGCTATGAGAATGTAGCTAACAGGGTTTACAAGTCCTCAATGAGAATGTAGCTGACAGGGTTTACAAGTCCTCAATGAGAATGTAGCTGACAGGGTTTACAAGTCCTCAATGAGAATGTAGCTGACAGGGTTTACAAGTCCTCAATGAGAATGTAGCTGACAGGGTTTACAAGTCCTCAATGAGAATGTAGCTGACAGGGTTTACAAGTCCTCAATGAGAATGTAGCTGACAGGGTTTACAAGTCCTCAATGAGAATGTAGCTGACAGGGTTTACAAGTCCTCAATGAGAATGTAGCTGACAGGGTTTACAAGTCCTCAATGAGAATGTAGCTGACAGGGTTTACAAGTCCTCAATGAGAATGTAGCTGACAGGGTTTACAAGTCCTCAATGAGAATGTAGCTGACAGGGTTTACAAGTCCTCAATGAGAATGTAGCTGACAGGGTTTACAAGTCCGCAATGAGAATGTAGCTGACAGGGTTTACAAGTCCGAATGAGAATGTAGCTGACAGGGTTTACAAGTCCTCAATGAGAATGTAGCTGACAGGGTTTACAAGTCCGCTATGAGAATGTAGCTGACAGGGTTTAC